CCTACTACTGAGGGTTATAAACGAGCTAGAAAGATATTAGAAGAACGCTTCGGCCAGAGACATGTGTTAGTAAGAGCCTTATTAGATGGTGTCACCATACATGGATTAGTGCAACCGAATGCCGATGAGCTGTCCGCGTATTCCGACAAACTTGTTAACTGTGCGGATGCGTTGGAACAACTGGGTTATGTCGCCGATTTGAATTCGGTCACTACGATTNTGAGCGGGTTCTAGCTAAACTGCCACGCTTCATGACGATCGAATGGGTTAAGCGAGCCGAAGAAATATATCAAGTTGACCGTGAACCATCGTTCCGTGACTTGTGTGATTTCGTTTCTGCTAAATCCCGACTGCAGCGAAATCGCTACAATTATTTATTGCAAGATCGTAGATCTCTGACTGACAATAACAACAGAGTTGTTACACAAAGGAAAACCTTTGCATTTGTGCCCAACAGTAGGGCATGTGCCATTTTCGGACTAAACCACTTTGTAGACGATTGTCAAGAGTTTCAAAAGTTGTTTGCACAAGAGCGTTGGTTGATGGTTTCTAAACACAGGTTGTGTTTTAGTTGTCTCCGACCGGGGCGTCGGGTTGAGAAGTGTTTATCAAAAACTAGATGCAAGCAAAAGGGCTGTCTCCGTGTACACCACGAGTTGCTGCACCAACAGAAAGAGATGCCAAGAGTTTATAATGCTTCGTGTCAGCTGTTTTATAATGGCTATAGAGTGAGTTTGGGAATTATTCCAGTTTTTATTGAGGGTCCTACTGGGTCTTCGATAACTAACGCCCTGTTAGACACAGGAGTCGACACTTCCCTGATACGAGTGGACCTAGCAGATCAATTAGGTCTAAAGGGTAAACCAGAGGACATTTTCATGAACACACCGTTAGGGAATACCCGCAAAAGCTGTTCCAGTTTAACCTTTAGAGTAAAGTCCTTGGATGGTGCCGAAGAAATAGACGTCCAGAAGGCATGCACTGTCGCGTCTGTACTCGAGAGTCCTGTCTCAAAACCAGGTGCTAGAACGCTTTCTAGATGAAGCCACCTAAAGGGAGTCAACTTTCCCATAACGAGCTGTCCGATAGTTGGTGTGCTGACTGGTTTGAATGTGCCCGAAGCACATTGGATACTGGAACAAAGAGGAGGAAAGAAAGGGGCTCCATACGCAGATCGTACTCCGTTAGGTTGGGTCCTTAGGGGACCGGCGGATCGCAGTCACACCGGTGGTGTGCGTATGTGTGCAATACACGAGCTAAAGAAAATTGAGGAGGATATCTGCCCGCTTTACAATCAAGAATTCACCGACTGTGTCTCAAGTGACTTGTCTCAGTCAGCTGAAGGCGCACGCGCAGTTGTCATTGCGGAAAAGCTTGTGCGAGAAGTGGAGGGACATTTATGTGTAGCATTGCCGTGGAGAGACGATAAGCTGCAAGGAGTGTGTAATAAACCGGCAGCACTAAGGCGTTTAGATTTTTTGGGTCGAAAGTTTCAAGTTGACCAAGGTATGCGAGATCAATATTCTGCAGTTATCGGCAGATATTTGGAAAGAGGTTATGCCAAAAAGGTAGAGACGGAAGCTGATGACACTGGCTTCAAGTGGTATCTACCACATTATGCTGCTCTGAATCCTAAGAACCCGGATAAATTAAGGGTTGTATTTGATTGTGCAGCGGTTTATTCAGGGGAGTCCTTGAATATGCATTTGCTCCAAGGACCGAACATCGTGTCCAGTCTAGTCGGAGTCCTGCTTCGCTTTCGTCAGAAGCCTATTACCGTTACATCGGATATTGAGGATATGTTTTTACAGGTCAAAGTTCCGGAATTGGATCAAACGGCTCTCAAATTTCTATGGTGGTCTGAGGGTAACCCAGCTCAACTAGTTGAGGAGTACTGTATGTCGGTTCACCCTTTCGGAGCTGTCTCTTCGCCATTTTGTGCGATTTTTACTTTGAGGAAAACAGCCAATTTATACGGCCACGATTACCCTTCCTCGATAAACGATGCAGTTCAAAGCGGTTTTTATGTGGACGACTTGCTGTTGTCTGTCGATGATCCAATCGAAGCACGCAGCACAATCAGCGGCCTGACACAACTGTTAGGTCGTGCCGGGTTCAAACTGACTAAGTGGGCTAGTAACCAGCGAGAGGTTTTGATTCAGATTCCTTCTGACGAAAGGAATGTTTCGGTTAAGGAATTGTCTGACGGTACGCTTCCTACGGAAAAGGTGTTCGGTCTGGCTTGGGACATGGAGGGTGATTCATTCGTTTACCAATTTGAAATGAAGGAGTGCCCGGTCACGCAAAGACTGTTGTTGTCGCGTTTGTCAGCTATCTATGACCCAATCGGGTGAATTGGCCCATTCATATTACCTTTAAAGTTATGGTTTCAAAATCAGTGTAGAAAAGAAGTGGGTTGGGATGAATTGGTAGAGAGTGAAGAGCACAGATGGCGGCGTTGTTGTGCCATTTTGGAAATGCTAAATAGTATTAAGTTGCCCAGATGGTTTCCTTATGGAACTTCAGAGACAGATCACTAGGTGGAGCTCCATGTGTTCAGTGACGCATCGGAAAAGGGCTATGGGGTTGTTGCGTACTTTAACTTCATCGGTAAATAGGAATCTATAAAGTGTGTGCTGGTTATGGCTAAGTCCCGAGTAGCTCCTTTGACGTTTGTCACCATACAACGTCTCGAGTTATCGGCCGCGGTGTTGGCTACTCAGTTAGTTAAAAAGATACAAAAAGAAATAGAAATATCTCTACGACAAGTGTGTTATTGGTCGAACTCAGTATCCGTCTTATATTATAGTAAAAATGATAAAAGCCGCTTTTCAATTTTCGTCGTTAATCGCGTAGCTAAGATCAAAGAAGTTTCTACCCCAGAACAGTGGCGACACGTGCCATGGAAGGATAACTCTGCCTCACGAGGTATGACGCATCAAGAAAAAGACCAGCTCTTATGGTTTCAAAGGCCACAGTTTCTAAGTCAACTGGGCATGACTGACTTTGAAACGGATACATGCCCCGATCCCTCAAACGAATTCTTAGAAGTAAGGGAGGGAAGAGAAATTGCATCAGTTGTTAACGTTGCCTTTACACATTATTTCGAGAGGTTCTCCTCGTGGTTGTCACTGATAAAGTCGGTGGCCTGGATTTTGAGGTTCAAACAATATCTACTCATCTTTAGTAGGGGCAAAACCCAAATGTCGTTGAGGGTAGGCTCTTTAACATTGTCGGAACTAAGAAGCAGTCGTGATGCTATTGTTAGTCTAGTATAAGTGGAGTGTTTTCCCCGCGAACTGAGCGTGCTACGTGGTGAAACCAAAGATAGCCAGCGAATGTCTACAAATAGCGCAATAAAACGATTGAACCCCATTCTTGTTGATGAGTTCTTGTGTTGGGGGTCGTCAACAATCATCGGATATGTCAGAGGCCCTTGATTATACTGTACTCCTTCCTGCCAAGCATAATGTCACACATTTGATAATCAGATGTCATCATGGGTTCGATGGTCATGTAGGTTGAAATTAAGTCTTGGCCAGTATTCGGAGGAGGTTCTTGGTACTAAAGGGCAGGGCCGCCGTACGACGTGTCATTGGAAGATGTATGCAATGCCGAAGGTATCAGGCGCATCCTAGCGATCAGCAAACGGCACCTTTACCTTTAGAACGGGTTATTCATGATGGATATGACTTTGCGCATGTAGGAGTAGACTTCTTTGGTCCATTATACGTAAAGCGAGGGCGGTAGGAACAAAAGCGATATGGGTGTTTATTCGCCTGTTTAAATATACGGGCAGTACACATTGAATTGATTCATTCTCTCTCGTCCGACGCCTTTTTGCAAGCCATTCTGCGATTCATAGCAAGACGAGGAAGATCGAAAGTGGTTTTTAACGACAACAAAACTAACTTTAGAGGTGCTTATAACGAACTTCGGGCGTATGTTCATCTTTTCTCAGATACCAAAACCAAAGGATTTATGGTGGAGCGAGAGATCGATTGGCGTTTTGGTCCTCCGGAGACCAGTCATTGGGGAGGCATCTGGGAAGGGATGATACGGTCCGTAAGGAGAATCTTGCACGCCACCACCCGTGGTCACAGCGTTACCGACGAAACTCCGTTGAATTTCGTCGCTGAAGTAGAACCGATATTGAATGACCGTCCGTTAGTGCCACTGTCTGAAGATGCGAAAGACTTAGACGCTTT